AATTAAAATTTACACACGCAGAACAGCTGTAGTTGATTTGGATTCAATTTTCTTGTTACAATTTTTTTAATGTAATTTCTTAAAAAACTGTTTTAAGTTAATTTTTAAATATATAACAGAATTTCTTAGATACAGAGTTTATCATTTGTCATGTTTCTATTACTTTTTCCATAACATATTTTGTTTTCGTTACCATTGTTTGTTATTGTTCCATAACATATTTTGTTTTCGTTACCATCGTTTGTTATTGATTTCGATAGTAATACTTGTGATTAGTTTTTATTAAACCATTTTTATTAGGTGGATAATTTTGGTCATCTTTCCACAACTCTAAGCTGTTTCTATAATTAAAGAGAATTTCATCTAAAAAATACCCGTTCCATGACAATTTCATTTTTCAATTCTATCTTGATTTGCACTAAAGATAATTAACATGAATGTACAAAACTGCGACAGTTATGGAAAGATTTTATTGTTGTGGAGACATAGCATTCAAAAGTTTATATTTTGCAATACTTTCAATTTTAAGATTATAATCTTTTGGAATATAGCAAACAATTTTAGAATATTACATTATTTGACTTGTGAGAGTTTACCAATATTTACATTGTACCCCATTTTATAAACAGATGAAGTCCAGCCCTGTAAATTATTTAACCTTAAAATATTTTTTATTGAAAAAAAATTTAAACGTTTTATTTTATTATTTTGCACACATTTAGAGGTTGTGCCTAGTTTTTTGAAAAAAAAAAATTGAAAAAAAAACCACCCTAATATATATATATATATGTATATATATATATATATATATATATATATATATATATATATATATATATATATATATATATATATATATATATATATATATATATATATATATATATGTATGTATGTATATATATATGTATGTATATATGTATATATATAAATATATATATATATGTATTAAATGGTGATATGAAAAAAAAATTTGATAAAAAAACTTATGATAAAATATATCCTTCTGACGCTGTTCCATCTAGATTATATGGATGCATTAAAGCACATAAAAGTGATAAAGGTTACCCTATGCGAACTATAGTTTCAACTATTGGTACACCAGCTCATAAACTTTCGCAACATCTAGTTGAAATAAAACAACCTAGACTTAACAAAAACGAATGTAGGGTTAAAAATTCTTTTTCGTTCGTATCTGAGGCTAAAGAATGGTTTATTGATAAAAATGAAATTCAAGTTTTGTTTGATATTATTAATATATATTCATCGATTCCACTAGATAAAGCAACAATTCCCATAATTGATATTCTAAGCAAAGATAAAGATAATCTTAAGATGCGAACTAAATTGTCATTAGTAGATATTCACAAGCTTATTGAACTTTGTGTAAGTAAATGAATTTTTTATGGGACGACAAAATACATATCTGAAAAAATTCTGGTCTGATTGGTTTGTCCATTATGGTTATTATGTTGGAAGCTTATCTACAATTTATTGAATTTAATGCTATCCAACAAGTTTTAAGCTTCAATACTGCACCAATAACTTATAAAAGGTACGTTGATGATAGTCACGCTCAATTTTCTAATATTAATGACGCAAATTCTTTTTTAAATATTTTAAATACACAAGATACAACCATTCAGTATACTATTGAATACCAAAATTCTCAAAGTCAACTAAATTTCTAGGCGTTTGTATTTCCACCAATCAATTTTTTCATAAATGCGATTTTTCAATATATCGCAAACAAGCAATCACTAATGTATTAGTTAAACCACATTTTTCAATTTCACCCAATATACCAATAAGTATTTTTTAAGGTTTTCTTTCAAGAGCATATAAAATATGTTTAGAATAAAATATTCAGAATGAAGTGAAATTTCTTATTAATGTGTTTTCCCAAAATGGACATTCATACAAACAATTTTCAGATATCGCTAAAAATTATAAACTCTCACATAAAAATGCAATAAACCAGCAAATAGACCCTGGAAAAATTGTCATACTACCATGGATACCAAAATTAAGCATTATACTTAAAAGATATTTTTGTAGAGTAGGTATTAAAACCTTTTTTCACTATAGTAATTCTTTACTTTATATTTTATGTCGCAATAAATCAACATTGCATCTAAATAGTTATCCTGGTGTTTATCAGTTAGATTGTTTATGTTGTGCAAGTTATATCAGCGAAACTAGTAAAAAAGTTTTCACACGTGTTAATGAACACAAAAGAAACATAGCTAAAAGTAACTGGGACGCATCAGAAATAGTTGAACATGCCCAACATTGTCATGGTTCATATATATATATATATATATATATATATATATATATATATATATATATATATATATATATATATATATATATATATATATATATATGTATGTATATATATATATATATATATATATATATATATATATATATATATATATATATATATATATATATATATATATATATATATATATATATATATATATATATATATTATATATATATGGAGTTAATAATTAATAAAAATTCCAATATATGAAATATATATTGGAATTTTTTCATTTTTTTTTAAATCAATTTGCCCAGTGGAGAAATATTATAAAAATTATTTTAAAAATAATTTTAACCATAACCTATTTAAAAACCCTCTGCTCAAACTCGTTTTTTTGAAATGATAAAACTTTTCAAAATTCAATTGTTGCGACAGATTGAAATGTCTTGTTTTTAAAAACCTTTTTAAACTAAAAGTTAGTTAAAAAAATCAAAGTAACAAATTTTCATAAGACTGAGATTAGCTTACAAACAGTGCTATGGCTAGAGTGTCAGAACAGCTGTGCCCCACCCCTCCCCCTACCCGTCATTAAGGCATTAAAATTTTATAAACCTTCCATTACTAGGTGTACTAATAAAAAAAAAATCTATGTAACTTGGAGTAGAGATATTGTTTGTTAAGTTCTAAATTTTTAGTTATAAGTCTGAAAAATTTTGTCATGGAAGTACTTCAAACACTAAATTGTTTTATTACAAGAATACACATTGGCAGATCAAAGTTTATAAAGTGATGTTTCTTTGAAGAAATAACTCATCTTTTGCAAGCAACCTTTTGCACTCTTCATTTGTGTAATCAATGTCTAATGAACAATCATTCCAAATATTATATTGTCTTTCCAAACGCTAAAGGCAATTACAAGTTGATGCCAATTTTAAGTTCCTTATATCTTTAATATTTCTTTTGCAAGAGAACCATGGCTTGGCCTAGAATCTGCAACAAAACCGCATGCCTCTCATATTATTCCTTTTTTTGTCCTAGTCAAAAGCATATATTTTAAGAAATAGATAGCTCTAGAACTCCATTGCACATTTGAAATAGGCCTCTTGATAAGAATCGTATCTTTTACATAAGAAATCCAGCTCTGTATAATCATTCCAGCCATATTTTTTAATTTTTAATAACTGGCTCATTAGGCTCATTATTTCAATTAAATCATGGTAGTTACTAATCAACTTATTAATGAACCAGTAGTTATTATTATTTCAATTAAATCATGGTAGTTACTAATCAACTTATTAATGAACCAGTAGTTATTATTAGGTGATGTTCATAAGGAATCAAACTTTGAGTTCATAAAATGCTTAAGAATCAGGTAGAGAACATGAAGTTGACATGGATAATACACTAAACCTAGAATAATTTTTGTCAAATGCTTTATTACTCTTTTTACTATGCTTACTTACATTTTGAGAACCTATATATACTGTAGTGGTATCACATATTACAATGGAAATTTTATTTATTAAATTAAATTCCAAAATAATATTGTGTAACATGTCATAAAAAGAAACAGAGTTGCTTTCTCAAATTTCTTCACATATATAACCGAAGGTTTAGACTTGCTTGAAATGCAAGTGCTATAATAATGTTGTTTGTCTATCCTCTAGTCATCAAAATGCAACCGCCACATTTCTTCAGAAGAATCAATATAAGACCGAATCAAGCTTAATTCATGTACAAATGTTGTAGATGTTTTTTGGACTGCGGATCTGCAAATCAATGTTTTACCAACTGCATTGAGTTCGGTTTTGGCAATCTTTGTCGTACAACTTAATGGATATCCTTTATTTCAGATATCTTAGCGTAATATTTAAATTATTCTTGGCTTTGAAATATTTAATTTCTTGGCTTATTTATTTAATATTTAATATTTAAGTTATTCTTGGCTTTGAAATATTTAATAATATTTAAATTATTCTTGGATAATAATCTTTGAAGTATTTAATAATATTTTAATTTAATAATATAAAACAATTTTTTTATAATTTTTATTATTTATTAATATTTATAAATTAATATTTAAAAATTTTTTATAAATAAAATTGAATAATATTTAATTATTTTAACAATATTTAATAATTTAATAATCTTTTAAATATTCAATAATGTTTATTATTTAAGTTATTTTTGAAATATCTAATAATATTTAATAATTAAATTATTCTTTGCTTTGAAATATTTAATTTTTTGGCTTTGAAAAGGGCGATCAAATTATCAAATTAAATCATTCTCTAATATCTCATACATCTAAAATACAGTTTATATTTAAATATATACAATATAAATAATAAAAGTTAATTAAGCAAATTTTTAAACTTAAAATGGATTTGCGTTTATATAGTTTATTTTTATATTTTGTTATAAGGTTTAGGTAACTTTATGTTTTTTCTAATTTTATATAATAATATAAATTATAAACTATTAATAAAAGCTTTATGGTATTTCTAATTACTTATTTCTAGTTATTCTAATTTGTTTTCACTTTCATCTTTTAATAGTTTTAATTTTCATGTTTATCTTTTAATAGTATGCTTAACAATATGATGTGTTATAGTAATACCTTGTGAGGTATTTTCAAATCTATAAAGCTATATTTCATTTTTAGCTTTAAATTTTTTTTTCTTTTTTAAAAACTTATCTTACTCTCTATTTATTACTTAAGCCTTCAAGCTCAAGTACTTTGGATTTTGAGGAACATATAATCTCAGATGATGATGAAATATTTGAAGATGCTCCAGCATATGGTCACAAGTCATTACCTTTATTACCTCCTGACTCTAATGATGATTCAGAGAGTATGATAATATTTCAACATAGATTTGAAGAGAGGTTTGTGTTTTTTGACTTTTTAAACTTGACTAAATGCTTGATATGAGTTGTATCAATTGTATCAAATAAATCAACTGTATTAATTAAATTTTGTTTTTTTACAATTTAACAATGAACATGAAAAATTTAATAAAAATTATAAAGTTTATGTTACCATAATATATTAAATTTTCAATTATTTTTCTTAACAGTGTTTGGCACATTAATTGACTTCAAACATTAAAGTACTAATAAAATGTTTTTTAATAAACATTTATAAAGACAATTTTTTTATATAAATTGTCTTTATAAATGTTTAATTGACACATGTAAATATGCATATTTTGAAAGAAAACCTTGAATATAGTCTTTGATAATTAAATTACTTTTGTGATATTCAATTTAGATTAACTTAGTTTATAATTATTAAGTTTAACTAATAATTTTATTCAAAATACTTTGAATAATAAAGTAGGTTTAAAACTTTTTATAGTAAATATGAATAAAATGTGATGTAAATGTAAATGTCTTAAATATGATGTGAAAAAAAATATTTAGTTTCCAAATTTTGGCAAAAATAAAAAACAATGCATGGTATAGACAGTATGCCATAATTTTTGTCTGGTTAATTTAATTGACTCAAAAACTCAATTCCTCTATCCCAAATACTTCTAATTAGACACTTATAAAAACATTTTAACATGAAAAATCATTGTTGTTCATTAGTGGCTTTTCTATATCATTTGTTGGAGTTTACTTACTTATACTTATTATACTATAAAAATGAAAATTGCGTAAACAATAGTTATTAGCTGAAGAAAATTCTACTTAAATTCTAAAACAAGAAGTTTTTTGTGCGTTGTTGTTACCTTGTGCGTTGTTGTTATAAATCTATCCTGTTTTTCACAATTCTTTCTTAGATACCTAAAGTATCTTTGCTGTAAAGTAGTGCTTGGAGAATAAGTTCACTGTTAGCACTCCTGACAAAGGAACAAATGTAGGGACAAATGTTTGGCTGAATATTTAGATGAATTTTTCTGATTTATTCCAGCTGTTTGATAACATGGTACGAGCTATTGGTCCAGTTATGAATAAAAATTTATGATATAATTAATATAAATAATTCTCAGACTAAATGTCATAATGTTTTAAACCATAATACAGAGGATTTTGATTTTTTGTAAAAAACCGAAATACTTACATTTGACTATTATATTATAAATTGGTTTCACTTCTTTGATCAGACTCCTGTATAAGTGAAACTATCCTTATAAATCATCAACTTAATATTACAAATAATAATAATTTTTTTCTTAATTTATTGTTATTATTGTAACTTATCATTATAACTATAATTTGTATTAATTTTGATATCTTTATTACATTTTTATAGTTGTAACTTATTATTATAATTATTTGTATTACTATTTATATTATTATTATTGTTATTTTCTGTTGTAAAACGATTATTAATGGAAAATTAATTTTTTGTTGATATTTTAAAGAGAAAAAAAATCTAGTTTATTTTTAAAGTATAGCCACATATAAAATACCCATAAATCTTCATTAAATACTAATGAACGACTATTAGTATGTATCAATAAAGAAGTGTAAAAAGTGTTTTAAATTCTTAATATTGCTTTCATTTAGTCGTTTGAGTTTACATGTAAAGTTTAACCAGTTTGCATAGTTGTGGGGACCAACCTAAATTTTTTCTACTTTTCAGAGCTATTCTATTTTTAATAGCTTTTCTTATTTGACCTTCGTTTCTTGATATTTTTGATAAGTAAATTAAGATTTTTAAAATATTTTCATTTATATCATTAATTAAATGCGTGGAAATTTTAAGATCATTAGCATGAGGCTCAAGTTTGCCAAAGTTTTAAAAACTTGTTACAAATTGTGTTTCTATTTGTATTATTTAATTTGTAACTTTGACTATTTATACTTGTTTTTTTAACCATAATTGAATTGATGAATGTTAAAAGGACAGAAGTCCAATAAAGTAAACTTTCGGGAAACTAAAAAAAATTGCTTTTTCTCTTCTAGCAAATTTTTGTTAAGGGTTAAATAATTTATTTTTTTTGAAGGTAAAAAACATTATCCTTTCTAAAAATAAAAATTATTAAACCATTTATAAAAATTTACTACAGGGAAAATGCATTTTTTTTTTTACTTTCCTGAAAGTTTACATGGTTGGATTTCTGCTCTTTTAACATTCACCAAATCAATTGAAGTTATCAATATTTTTTTAGCAATTTTTGTCATAGAATCAACAGGTAAAATTTATAGACCTATTTGACAAAAAATTTTAATAAAAATTTTAAAACAAAATCAATAATCCAGGCACCTTTAATTGATAAGTCAGAAGAATATATATATATATATATATATATATATATATATATATATATATATATATATATATATATATATATATATATATATATATATACATATGTATATATATGCGGGCAATTCCACGTCAGAAGATTAAAAATCATGTTAATAAAAAGTATTACTTAAAGTGTTTCTCCACATTATTTTATTTTGGTAAATATAAACATTGAAGTGGTATTTTCTATGATTTCTCTGAAAAAGTATTTTGGGGCTCACTAATATTTTATTCATTAATAAAAAATATATAATATCAATAAAATTTTAATTTGTAAATATAGGCTTATTAGATTAGCAGAATACATCTAATTACAACATATTTTTATTTGTTTAAATGTTTTAATCTGTTCTGCGAGTTTTACTGTTCATTTTTTCTTCAACATCAGATCGTCATCACTCTTATCTGTTGTTTTGTAGTTATTTATGTTTTAAATATTTTTTGTCTGAACCATTAATAACTTGTTGTTATTCTGTAATTTTTCGTGACATTAGTAATGTTAAATTTATATAAGTTGTAATTAGCATCAATATATTTATGATTATAACTTTAACTTATCATTCAATGTTTATGTCGTTAAATAACATTATTTTTAAATTAGGTATCAAACAACTTTGTAAACAACTGTTAACACAGTTAATAATTGAGGAAGTTAATTTGGATTAACCTTTTAAGTGCTTGTTTGTCATAATTCATATTTTAATACTATTATATTTTTTATATTGGATCTAGATTCAAAAAATTTTGTGACTCTCATCCAGATTACAAAGTGAAAGAAATGATCCGAATGCGCTCCTTGAGACAAAACATGACACCTGATCAATTAGAAAAACAACGTAAAATGGACAGAAAAGCAAAAAAAAGGAAGAGAAATGCAGAAAGTACATCCATAGATCGACAAACATTTTTTTCACCACAGTCTTTTGGTAAGGAAGTAAACAAAGTTATGAAGAGTTTACCAACAGATGAAGACCGTCTACAGTTTGTGTTTGTAGAAGTGGGCAAACAGATTGGTTTGTGATAAGTTAAAAATGATGGACCAAGTAGTACACTTATAAAATAGAAGAATTGTCTTACTCTAATAATTCATAAATTTTATGAATGCAATGATGTTTCCCATCAGGCACCTGGTATCAAAGATGTTACTACCAGTAAAGTCACTTAAGAGAAAAGACAAACTTCATTTGCTATTCACACTGAAGGAAGCATTAAAAATATGCAAAAATGACAATGCTGGTGTGTCTGTAAAATTTTTAAAATTCTAGCAGACTGTTTTATGTTAAGCTCCGAAGAAAAATTCCAGAAAATGTATGCGTATGTGTTATACATGTGAATTTTCAGTTTATAATCAACTCACACTTCACTATATTTGGTTAACCAATACATCAAAATTTTCTTTGTGAACATTGTGGTAATCTTCAATATAAAAAGTTTACTGAATGCTGAATGATGGTTGGAACTGGTGGATGGTGCAGATGAAGTGACTTTTGAACACTGGAGTAGTGGGTTTAAGGAAGTTATAACAATGCCTTTTACTGAATTCATGTAACAATTTTTACTAATTTGCCTGCTTTTTTGAGACACTGCTTTGTGAAGCGAGTTTAAAGTGCTCATTTTCAATTTGCATGCTATCAAGCATCAAGCTTTTTTTTTTTTTTTTTAACATCTTTGCTTCCAACGAGGCTGCATGCAACCACTAATTAGTGTTGGAAGTTACTGGAAGAGAAAAGATGAAGGTTTTAGAGCAAGATAACGATTGACAGATGACTTAAAAGATTGACAGAAGATTAAATGATTAAATAACTAAAAAGTTCAATTAAAAAATTCAATTAAAAGATTAAATAACTTAAAAGATTGACAAAAGATTGACAGAAGACTTAAAAGATCAGGAAAGCAAGATGAAGGAAGCGAATTCCAAAGAACTGATGTTCGAGAGTTTTTGGAGCACTTAGGAACAGTAACAGAAAAAGGATAAGAATTAATTGAATGATGAGTAACACGAGAATGAATTTTAGTAGATGGCACAAGAGACGCTAGCTCTTTAGAGCAGTGCCCATTATAGTATTTGTAGAAAAGAGAAAGAGAAGCAACATTATGATGATGTGACAGAGGTTGAAGGCTGGCTGCAAAAGCAGGTCCAACTATGTTTACAATGCGTTTTTGCACCTTGTCTAAATACTTGTATGAAAAACTGTTGCCCCAGATATGGCAACAGTATTCCATACAAGTTCGGATTTGAGATTTATAGAGATAGAGCATAGAATCCAGAGTAAGAAAGTGTCGAGCTCGATAAAAAGATGCAACTTTAGCAGATGCTGATTTTGCAACGGATTTGATATAAGGTTTCCAAGAAAGATCAGAAGTGAAAGTTAATCCTAGAAGATGAAGGGTAGATGACTCATCGAATACATTACCAGGCCTTCTCAGGAGACGCGTGCTGTCGCATGCCTTGAATGACCACGCATATATATTTTTTTGTTGATAACATGGCCACGATTTTTTTTGCATTTATTAAAAATGATGCATTTTAAAAACGTGCTGAAAAAAAAAAATTAATTGCTCATCTTTTTTTTTATTATTATTAATAATTCATTATTATAGTTATTAATGAGAAAATAATAACTATAATAATGATAATAATGAAAATATTAAAATAAAGGGATAACTCCATTTTTAACTTACGTTACACGCGCAACAACTTTATCAAATATTTGCTTATTTAAACTTTTAAATTAAACTTCTAGCAATTTTGCATGAAAGCTGTTAGTCTAATAAATAAAATAAGCTTAGAAGTTTTGAGTTCAAAATAGAACAAACTTATTACTGAAAAAGCCACTTGCACTTATGTTATACGTAAAACCAGATAAAAAAACTAATTCAACTTATAGGTCTCATTTCTGCGAATCAGTAAAGCAGTTTGTATTAAAAACTTTCACAAAATGCAGAAGATTCTATACCAATTTAAAATTCTTATAAAAACTTTTTAAAATAAACTTGTTTTTTTGATACTGTATGTTTTACTTCAGTTACATCACTTATATTATCGAGCAGTTATCATGATTTTTTTTATCTATTATTAAGAGTTAGAGTTACGTAACAAATGAATTGCATAAGTATTGAACTCATTCATTAAAAATAATTAACAAAGAAATTTTATAAAAACTGGTCGCACTTTTCCTGAGTGGTTTTTCATAACATTCATGATAGTTATCAATCCGAAAATATTTTTTCGCAAGTCCAAGAGCAACTTCAGAAAAATATTTTAGTTTTACATCTTTATTATTACTTAATTGAGTCATTGGTTTGTCAAAGTTTTTACTTGCACTTCTTACATTTATGCGTATTGCTTTATTTTTATAAGATTGAATTTTTAAAATGCTGCTTAGTATTCACATTTAAATCTTTTATAAACATCTATATGTCAACCAAAATAAAAGTACATAAACAAAAAAACAACAACAATAAAATAAATAATTTTAATACATATTAAAAAAAAAAGGTTTTTTTTTAATTCTACTTATATAAAAAGTTTCAGTTAAAACCTTGTCAAGCCAACAGGAAAAAATATTAATTACTTAATGACATAATTCATTTAGTAAACAAAAATTTAACGAAAAACTGCCAGAATTTTATTAAATGCATGAAAACAAATAAAAATGTATATACAGGGTCGGCGCGAGTCGGTGTTACATAGGGGGATGCCGTTACAACTTTTGCTGACTAAAAAAAAAAAAAAAGGTTCTCGTTTTCGAAAATTTGCCGACTGCTATGACGACATTTGCCGACTGACTGTTTAAATTTACTGACTTAGTCAGCAAATGTAGACCCTGTCGATAGGTTTGACAGGGTCTACATTTGCTGACTAAATAGTCAAAAAGGGTCAAATTTGCCGACTAAGGGTCAAATTTGCCGACTTAAAATCATTAATGGGGGGGGGGGTGACACCCCCCACATACCCCTATCGCGCTGGCCTTGTATATATATATATATATATATACATATATATATATATATATATATATATATATATATATATATATATATATATATATATATATATATATCTTTTTATTTTGTCATTAATTAAAAATATATATATGTGCATTATTGTTAGGTTTTTATTTTCTCATAAACAATTATAATAATAAATTATTTATAATAAAAAAAACCAATAAGATGACTAATTAGTTTAACTTTTTCAGTTTTTAAAATGCGTCATTTTTAATATATGCAAAAAAAATTGTGGCCATGTTATCAACAAAAAAATGTATATGTGTGGTCATTCAAGGCGTGCGACCATACGCGTCTCCTGAGAAGACCTGCATTACCGTTCATTAATATAGGAAGGTCTAAATTATTGCGATAACAATTGGCTGAAAAAAATTGAGTTTTATCTGAATTAAAGTTCACCAGCCACTGTAAGCCCAATGCTGTAGCAGAAGTGAGATCCTTTTCAAGCTGAAATGCCCCCTGCAAGCAATCAGAGAGAGTTGGCTTCTTATCGTGACAAGAATAGATGCCACCTTAGATGTGAGAATATCTGGAAGATCATTAATGTAAATTAAAAAGAGTATAGGGCAAAGGATTGAACCTTGAGGAACCCTGAGGTTACAGAATAAGAAGAAGAGTGCTGTCCATCAAGGATAACTTTTATACTACGATTGGAAAGAAAGGATTCAATAATCTTAAAGATGTTTCCAGATACACCGTAAGAAGAAAGCTTATGGAGAAGACCAGCATGCCAAACTTTATCAAACACTTTAGAAATGTCAAGAGCAATGGTCTTAGCCTCTCCACCTTTATCTAATGCACAATAAACCTATCGGTTATTACTGTTAGCAAATCAGCCGTAGAACGAGAAGATCGAAATCCATATTGATGATCAGAAAGTAAATTATTAGATTCAAGATGAGAGAATAAGTGTTTGTTAATGAAAGATTCAAAAACCTTGCTTATTATAGGAAGAAGACTAATGGGACAGTAATTAGACGAATCAGATCGCTCTCCAGATTTTTAAAAATAGAGATAACAGATGCTGCTTTCCAGCAGGCTGGAAAACAAGACTCTGATAAGCACTTGTTAAATAGTTTAGAAAGGATAGACAAAAGCTCCCGAGAACACTTCTGTACCTGTGCCCCTTCTTCAATTATTAGGCTATATAAAACAGTGTACTCAGTACACTGTTTTATATAGCCTAATAATTGAAGAAGGGGTACGAGGTTGGTTAACAGATAGAATCGGTTCACCCCTTAAAATCTGTTTACCCCTTAAGCTGAGGCTCAAAGAATAGAAAAATTTGCTGGTATTAAATCATATAAAAACTTTTGATAGATCAAGAGTTATATTTATCGGGCGCTAGTTTTATATATTATTTAGACTGTCTTTTTTAAAGCAAGGCATAACTTCAGTCATTTTTCAACAATGGAAGTCAAAAATACAATTGATAGTCTCCCTAATAACAATAATAAATCTCTAAGACATTATGTACATTATGCTCAAGTCTTATTTTATGTACTTTGATGATAACAATATCATCAAAGTACATAAAATAAGACTTGAGCATAAACATCACCACTTTTTTTTTCTTATAATTTATAGGCCATATTATTTTGTATATTATTCATATGCCATATTATTATGTCATCCGCTGAGATTAGAAAAATTTTAAAATATTCACTACAACAAAGATTGTTATACTAAATACTTTTAACACTTAAACATAACACTTACCTTCCAACTGAGAACATTTAAGTAGCTTAAGATGAGTGTCTTAGTATACCTCTCTGTTGAGCATTGTAAAAACACATTTGCGGACAAATATATGTACTCAGTTTTGATATAAACACAGAATATCTGAACGCAATGACTCGTTTTGTGTGATTGCAACATGTATATCTTTTGATATAGCTGAGAATTTATGCTTAATATATATGTTTAGATACCAAAAATTTTATATTATTTAAATATTTAAGGCCTATGCTATATTAGGGTGGGTCATAAAATTTTTTTTTCTTGTTACAGGCTCTAAACATTGCTAATAGTTATTAATATTGATACTATCAAATATGAGAATGATTGTGATTTAAAGAGCGCAACTTTATTAGGAAAATTACCGGTACCCTAATATTTTAGAGAAAAAAAGTTTTTCAAAAGTAGGTCAACCAGGTACTCAAAAGAAGCAAAATTTTATAAAAAATTCTAAAATAATAATCGTTTTATAAAAATCATTTTGCCGAAAAAAATTGTTATTAAAAAACATGTAAAAATGCACCTTTTTCACTTTTAGTAAAAAACTATAGTTATTATGCAATAAAATCTAAAATAATAATTTTTATATGAAAAAAAAGTTATTATTTTTGAAATTTTTATAAAATTTTGCTTTATTTGAGTACCTACATCACATAATTTTGAAAAACTTTTTTTTTGAATAATAATAGGGCCTGCTAATTTTTGTAATTATAGTTGCGGGTGACATTGATCAATCCATAAAAGTAAATACTTTCCTAAACTAGTACATAAAAAAACAACTTTCTAGACCATAGCCAGGTTAGCAACTCTAAAAAAAAATTTTATGACCCACCCTAATATATATATATATATATATATATATATATATATATATATATATATACATATATATATATATATATATATATATATATATATATATATTTATATTTATATATATATATATATATATATATATATATATATATATATATATATATATATATATATATATATATATATATATATATATATATATATATGTATATTCAAATCTAAAAATTAGTTAAATTAATAGAAAATAGTCTAAATAATGATAAGTTCAAACAAAGAAAAGAAAATGTTGGAAATTTTAATGTAGATATTTACTATAAAGAGTTTAAGTTAAATTGCTTATCTAAGGTTATAATTTAGTTTAATATAAGACACTAATATTTTAAAATGGGCGTTATTTTCTTAATTAAAGTTGTTATCACATTTTTTTGAGGTTATTAAATCTATGTTTAAAAGATTTTCTTAAAAAGCTTAAGCTAAATTTTATGTAGGTATCGTGATTCTCATCCTGTGTTTTTTCTTGGATCTTTGCAGGAGGCAATGGTTGAAGCTGAGGGGAAAAATATTTTTGAGGTAAAATGTATTTTAGTTTCTTGCTATTGAAATATCATAAAATCGCTCTTTTCGATTTTATTGATATAAACTATGTTATAAAATTTATTTTATGTTTAGATAAAATTTGTTAATTGATTGTTCTCTTATCATTGCAACATTTGTTGTTTAAAAATAAACTTGATAATTTATATCATTTTAATATATATATATATATATATATATATATATATATATATGTATATATGTATATATATATATGTATATATGTATATATGTATATATGTATATATGTATATATATATATATATATATATATATATATATATATATATATATATATATATATATATATGTATATATATATATATATATATATATATATATGTATATATATATATATATATATATATATATATATATATATATATATATATATATATATATGTATATGTATATGTATATATATGTATATATATATATATATGTATATATATGTATATATATATATATATATATATATATATATATATATATATATATATATATACAGTGTTGTTGCAGATGGGTCTACCTTCCTAAAAGTAGACCCATCCCCCTCCTTCCTAAAAAAAAAACCTACCCTCCTAAAGGTAGACCATTCCCCCTCCTTCCTAAAAAAAAAAACTTGCCATTTATGCCCCAATTTTTTTTTTTTTTTTATTCCTAAAAAAGGGGATAATGTTTACAGGTTACCCTGAAATAGCTGGGTACCTGACATATTTTTACGTCGCCGTTCATAATGATAAAAAGAATCAAATGAGCTCTTAAATTTAGTTAAATATATATTATAAATGTTAATTTGATATAGAGTTTACTAGTCAAGAGTTTCTTCAACTACTGTAAATGTATTTATACAGGTAATTAAAGTACATCACAAACCATCAAAAAAAGGATGTGCAACGTGTTTTCATGCTTGCAAACTCATTTATCATGCCTTTATAACCTTCCTATTTCATTCTCAATCGACAGCATTGCTATGGAAGACAAACATCGACCATTGTTGACCTATTTAAAGATACAAAGAAATATAGCTACATGTATTTATGTATAATGGAGCAAGATTATTTATACTAAGCTATGAAAAGTTTTAATTAACTTGCGTAAGCTACGTTTTGCACTTGCAACAGTTACTGTTAAAGTGAGAATGATTAATAACGCAATAACTAGATTTGGATATGTTTTTTGCAGCTTTTCTTTGTAGAAGTAGTTTAGTAAGTCATGTGCAGATCTTAGAAGAGTATTTTTTTCCTCCTTTATAACTATGACAAATGATTTTCAATAAAACTCTGTTTCCAAGTCCTCAGAATCTATATCACATATACATTATAAGCTTTAATGAGACTCACAGATCGGTTAAGAAAGTCATAAAGCTTTGTGACAATGCTGATCTATTCAAAACACTCTTTTACTGATGCAAATGACATATCAATTAGTGGCAAAAAGAAATCTAGTTTTTACTGATATTCAGGTTGCCGAGTGTGATCAATACACTTGTATGAATAAATCGATTTTTTTTCGCACTATTAGACAAAAGTTTTAAATGCCCTAAATTTCTACAATTTCTGAAACCTTAATACAGTGCATGTGATGAATAAAATCACCCATCAGGATATTTCTCACTTGTTATACTGAAATATGTTATCAACGAGCGTGATTATGCGTGCTTGGTATAAAGTCTTCGAGAGCGATATTCAGAGTTTGCCATGGGGCCATCTTTAAATTTTGTACACAGGTATGGGGAAGGGGTCACTCAAAAGCGTACCAGTGGGTACAAGGAAAGAGGTGGACAATTTTTTTTTTGAACCTTTTTCATATGAAATCCAGGAAATCAGACAAAAAGCTTTGGATTTTTAGTTAATGCAATTGTTTATCTACCGTAAAAAATGTTACTGTAGCTTTGATATTAAATAAAAACAATGCCGAAGGTGTACTTGTTTCATGTGTGAATAAAATGATGATTTATTTTGGCCATTTTTTAATCAAAATCAACTAAGGATTGCTACCCAAAATACACTTCCGCCAAAACAATGAAATATCGCCATTTACTAAAAGTTGACTACATAACTTTGTTTCCTATTGGAGTTGAATAAGCATGCTTGATTGCAGACATTTTTTACAACAGAAACATTTTTTAATGTAATTTAAAACAAGTAATAGTTAAAAATAAAAAGATTTAGAATATTTCTTTTATTTACAAAAGATGTGGGAAAAATTAAAAACAATAAAGCAAAAGAATCTTACGTTTTTACAAAATCTTATGGATCAAAACTTTTGATTTTTCAAAATTTAATCAAGTTTTTATTTTTTGATTTAAATTTTCTATTTTCATTGGTACGAAACATTTTTGAAAATAGTCAACATTCTATCTGTTAGCAGTAATGACATCATAACTTTTCATTCACTGTTTGCACAAAACAGAAAACTGCTTTCTAATTTAAACTGAATGCGCCATTTATATATTATCAAGTGAATAATATTTTATATAGTTGATTATATACTTTATAAATATATAATAGACTTATACTAATATAATATATAATAGTGTAAGTATACATATACTTATACAAGTATAATATATAAATAACTACTGGTGTATATTTTGAGAAATATGTTTGTGAAACTAGTGATGTTACATTTTTTCTTTTAGTGATTGTGAGCACACTTCTAAAAGTTTCAATTCAAAGTTATATAACTTTTTTAATTTTAATATAAGCTTAACTGAATTTAATATAAGCTTAACTGATTCAAAGATTTTACCAGAGAAAATATTAAGTTTATTAACTTATGTTTGACAAAAAATATTTGATATTCCAATGTTTTGATGTTTTTGATTTTTAAATATAATAGTCATTAATTAGTAGTATGTGATACTGTACAAAATCGAAGCTTTACAGATAAAAAAAAAACTTAAAAAAACTTAAAAAAACTTTTCAGTTTTCCAATGCTTTACATTTACTTTCCAATGTTTGTTTAAAAACAATGACTATGATTTAATTAATTTAATGCTTTACATTTGTTTCTTTAAAAACAATGACTATGATTTAATTTTTTCATAGTACTAAAGTAAAAATAATAACATATAGCATAGTAATAAAATAAATTATTACTGAGATAAACTGTGAATTTGCTGAAAATAAAAAACGATTTTTAATTTATAAATAACTTTGAAATATGTAATCTAATTACAAACAATACCGGTTTTTACATCCATTTAAAACAATCATGACAACCATTTAAAACAACCATGACATTCATTTAAAACATCGTGACAATCAATTAAAACAATGTGGTTTTTTAATTAAAACAATCGTGATTTTCATTTAAAACATTTAAGGCATGCGCAATCTCAACATTCTATATTATTTAAAAAAAAGGTTTTCTTTATATTTTTTTTATTCAATTTTTTTTTAAAATTTAAAATTTTATTTTATTTAAAATATGTTTATTTTCCAATTACTGTCGAGGTATGTCATCTGACCTAAGACACACTTCGAAAAAGCTTTCGCAGTGTGTGTAAAAGTTAACATTAGGAATAGATAAGCATACCTCGCGCATTCTTGAAATTAGTTCATTTCTTCCAGCTGGGGCTGTATTTCTTCGCACGTTATTCTCAACATTATGATGGATTCTGACATTATCCATCACCAGGGTGAATTCTTCCTCTGTCCCCAAAACTCGTACAACTTCATCAATATATTCTTGAAACAAAACTGTGTTGACTGACACACTGACAGCTCAGCAGTGAATAATATTTAAACCATTGATGGCCAATATCATCGAAACGTTACGTTGCCTAGGGTGAATGATCTGGTTTGGTGTTACTCCTCTTCTTGCCCATGAATGACTGCGAAACATGTGTAAATTAAATGAACTTTCATCAATAAAAACAATATTTCGATAGCAATTAATAGGCAAGATTGAAGTATACCACCTAACATATTCAATACGAAGATTTTTTACATCATTGTCGTTTCTTCTTTCATAAATTGGTCGAGTAATTTTATATGTGTATCCAAGATTGGTCACCCATCTCCAGACAGTTTTAATTGATACATTTACATTTAAAGCATATTTAATTTCAACTATAGTTGCCGTTGTGTTATCATTTATAAGCTCTTCAATTCTTCTTCTAATCTCTTCATTATAAATAATGTGACAAGCGCTACCTCTAGAACCAGGAAGTGTTGAATTCGTTCGATTGTACCTTCTTAAAATTGATTGTATTGTCTTTCGATTAACTCCTGTTAACGATGAAGCTTCAAATTGAGTTTTTCCTTGATCAACGACTAGATTTACAACAAGATCTTGCATGTTTTGGGAAACGGAATTTCGCGTCATGAAGTTTCAGATTGAATTTTTCTTTAATCAACGACCAATCTTAAAACAAATTTTCGCTTATTTTGGCAAACAGAATTTCGCTGCATGTTTTAATGAAAATCTAATATCCTCATGCGCTAAATATTTTATTAGGAAATCATGGTTGTTTTAATTATCATCATGCATGTTTTAATTGAACATCATGGTTGTTTTGCCAATACAGTATGTGTATAAAAAATATGTAATAAAATATGGTTTTGCATCCATTTAAAACTAACGTGAATCCATTCAAATTTAAAATAAACTCCATTAAATTAAAATAAATTAATACAATATTAATAAAAATAAATTTATATAATATTAGATAAATAAATATATAAAGAAGACCTTTTTTTTTTTAAATAATATAGAATGTTGAGATAGCGCATGCGTTAAATGTTTTAAATGAAAATCACAATTGTTTTAATTGAAAATCACATTGTTTTAATTGAAAATCACATTGTTTTAATTGATTGTCGCGGTGTTTTAAATGAATGTCATAATTGTTTTAAATGGTTGTCATGATTGTTTTAAATGGATGTAAAAACCAGTAATATATTCGCATATAATCATTAAGTTGGCGACTTAGAGAAATATACTTCTCCACATAATATGCTGCTGTTCAATGGTTTCTTATTAACAGTTAGACAGACTTTTATAAAGTTTGCATTTTATAATAAATTTCGGACTTTTTGAGTGTTAAACAATTTTGCGTTTATATATATACATATATATATATATATATATATATATATATATATATATATATATATATATATATATATATATATATATATATATATATATATATATATATATATATATATATATATATATACAGTAACATGCAAAAGTTTAGAAACATCTACTTTTTTTCAGTTTTTAACCCATAACTTTTCACAAACTTTCTCAAATAACCTGAAATTTTTACCAAATGTGCTCTATATTATTACAATTCAAAATCCAATTCAAAAAATTTTTAAAACTCACCGGTCAATTAGTTTTCATTGTTTTTTTGAAAATGCTTCCATGCAAAAGTTTAGAAACAATTTAATTTTTTTTTATTTCAATAAAGCTGAAATATTTGCTAAAACTTTCAAAATTTACAATTTTTTAATAAATTAGCTTCAATAAAAAAAAGTTAGTATTTGGTAACATATCCATTTGCCTTTAAAACAGCATCACAGCGACGAGGCATCAAATCAACTAACTATGAGAACATCCTGAGGAATATTATACCAGCATTCTTTAATCAAAGCAAATAAATTGTCTTTGTTGGTTGGTTTTCTACCAACTAATTGCCTGTCAATGTCCTCCCAAAGATGCTTAATGGGATTGAGATCTGGGCTCTGTGAAGGCCATTCAAGAACATTGACTTTTTTTGGTTGAAAATATTCCTTAACAGGTCTGGTACAAAGCTTGGGTCATTATCTTGTTGAAAGATCTAATTGCGATTCATTTTGTCTTTTGCATGGGGCAGCATAATGTTCTTCATTATGTCTAAATAAACTCTCTGTTCCATAATACCTTCTATGATGAATGGGACCCAGGTTGTCACAACTAAAACACCCCCAAACCATGACATTTCCTCCTCCATGTTTAACAGTAGGTAACTGATATTTTGGATTGAATCTGTCTCCTATTGAACGACTGACATATCTAATTTCATCACTACTGAATAGCATAAACTTTGATTCATCGGAGAAAAGGACTTTTGACCAATCATTCACTGTCCAACTGAGATACTCTTTTGCAAATTTTATTCTGGTTCTTAAATTTCTTACAGATATAAGAGGTTTCTTAACTGGACGGCGATGATACAGATTGTTTTGTCGTAATCTAAGTTGTATCAACGCTACAGTTTGTGCCATGAAACTGATGCATAATTGAATTAAGTTCAACAGCAGTCATGTGAGGATTGTTCTTGCAATACCTTACTAATAATCTATCAGCCTTTTCAGTTGTAACTTTAGGTCTTCCAGAGCGAGGCTTGCTTTCAATAGTTTTGCGCTGACGAAACCTTTTCATAATGTGACATATTCCTGGTTTAGAAACATTGTTAAGTTCAGAAATCCTTTTGTAAGTCATTTTTTTCCCCACAGCTTTTATAATTAATTTCTTTATTTCATATGAAACTTCCTTAGCCTTTCCCATGTTTTTAAAATAATGCTACATATTTGAATTATTAAACTTCACAAATAATTTTTCAATTAGTTATGCTTCATTGCTTTTGAAATATCTCAAGTTAATTCAAATAATAAATTTCAGAAAAAACTTGACCTTATATAATGCTTTTGTTTACAAAAACCTGATATAATTGCATGTTATTATACTTTTTCTAAACTTTTGCATAGAAGCCTTTTCAAAAAAACAATACAAATGAATTGACCGGTGAGTTTTTAAAATTTTGTGAAATGGGTTTTGAATTGTTTTAATATAGAGCACATTGGGTAAAAATTTTAGGTTATTTGAGAAAGTTTGTGAAAAGTTGTGCGTTAAAAACTGAAAAAAAGTAGGTGTTTCTAAACTTTTGCTTGCTTCTGTGTATATATATATATATATATATATATATATATATATATATATATATATATATATATATATATATATATATATATATATATATATATATATATATATATATATATATATATAAAATACTGTATAAAAGGAACAAAAATTTTTAAATTGTTTTCTACTTATTAATTATTACCTATTGTCCTTCCGGTAAAGATCAACTAATCGAAGAAGAAACTGTTTTTGGTTTTTTATCTTTTATAATGCTTAAGTTAATGGATGTTATAAACACTAATTGTTGATGACCTTCATTTGAAGAACCTTGTGCTTCATTTCAAAATATGTTGAATCCATTTCCTACTCTGAAGATTCTATCATTAAAAATGATTCAGCTTTTTCTTTGCCATTCTTCAAAATTAGATTCAAAAGTTCTGTAGTTTATTGTGTGATGAATAAAGACAAATGACTATTACAATTAAATGTGGCAGCATCAATTATTTTGAGTGATTTCTGCCTTGGCTGCTGTTTTAGGTTGTTTGCCATGTCTTTCTTGATCTTGTCAACACCGGAATCAAAGAAAGCCTATCCTACAAAATGATCAGAAAAAAAACAGAGAAGGAGAGGAAAATAGATTTTAATTATAAGATTTGGACATTCTTGAATCCATTGCTCGTTCAGCTAACAGAGATTCATTCTAAAATTGCCCATATATAAATGCCACAAAAAGACCTATGTCTGTTTTTTTGTTTGTTTGTTTTTTTAATTTTGTTATTAATGTATTATTTTTCCTTTTATTTATTTTTGTTTTGTTATTTCTGTTTTTGTTTATAATATATTAGATATAAATTTTATATAAAATTAGATATAATTTTAATACAAGTTTTTTTATTTAATTTTTTTTTCTTTATTTAATTTATAGTTGGTTATATATTCTTATTTTTGGTTTGTGATATAATTTTACTTATTATATATTATGTATTATTCTATTGTTTTATTAACTATTACTATAATATTTGTTTGTTCATTAACACTGTTTAATTTACGGCAAATAATACTATTATTAATTATTATTATTTTTGTTGCTATTATAATTGCTATTTATAATATTGTATCATTATTATTTTCCCTTTAATACCTCTTTAAACAGCTTCAAACTTTCTTCTAAATTTGGCAAATTTTCTTCTTTTATTTTTTTCATTAATTTTACTATAACCTCTAATTTTTGGGGAGTATCCACTGCATGTGTACAAATACTTAGTATGAGATGCTGTGCAATTCAATGTGATGTGTGTTTGTTTTGGACTCATACAAAATGTAGCAGGCTTTATGATCATGGGTGTTTAATTAAATACAGTTTAACACAATCAAAATGTTCAATATGGCTGTCTGCAAATTGTACTATAGGTGTCTTTCCATTGACTGATGTATCTGAAAATGAATTTAAACTGCTCTTCTCTTTGAATAAAATTATTTGATGACTTATGGATGACTAAATCTATACTCAATATAGTAAATTTATTATGTCACATGCTTCAGTTTCTGATGAGGAAAACTGTTTACCTCTTGATGTAGATTGTCAATGACACTAAAAAGTTCTCTTCTCATAACTTTGACATCATAAACTTTTTTTCCATTTAAACATATTCTCAAAAAAAAAAACTTTGAATATCTGAACATATTATCATTAACTAGTTTTGAAGTTACCATTATGGGAATTATAGAAACAAGATTAAAAAAGAATCTCCTTGAAATTCACACATCCAATTTATATTGAAATTTATAATTTTGAGCACACCAACCAAATCTTCTTGTGGTTGAACCTTGTTATATTAAAATTTGTCAAAAAAACTGATGATTTATATTTATCAAAAAATCTGATCAAAAAAAGAGATGGTTTAATCATATACACATCAAACTATTTAGAATCTGTTGAAATAATTTTTTCCAATCAATGTTATTGTTAGTGGCATATATAGACACCCTAGCATGGAAATAAACAACTTCAATAATAAAATTATTATTCTCCAAAAAATATCTATTGAAAATAATCTATCTTTCTACTTGGCGATTTTAACATGGATTTGATACAGTCTGACCTTGCAACCAGTCTGACCACTCTGACCTTGCAACTTTTGACTTTTTAAACTTCTCATAATATTTGGCCTTTTATTAAGCTACCAATGAGAGTTATTGACTATGCTGCTACAATCATTGACAATATCTTTTCAAATGCAAACCACTAACCAAATTATTATCTCCAACATATATTAGATATTTACTTGGGCAGTGAAAAAAGTTAGTGATGATTTAAAACCTGTCACATTATTATGCACTGTCACATTACTATGCAGTGTCACATTACTATGCATAAATATATTAATTTGCAATGCCTATTAAACTAGCAGTTATTTAGTAAAATCATGTGTCACTGTCATTGTTTAATTAGTAAAAGCATGTGTCACTGTCTTTGTTTGATTAGTAAAAGCATGTGTCACTGTCTTTGTTTAATTAGTAAAAGCATGTGTCACTGTCATTGTTTAATTAGTAAAAGCATGTGTCACTGTCATTGTTTAATTAGTAAAAGCATGTGTCACTGTCATTGTTTAATTAGTAAAAGCATGTGTCACTGTCATTGTTTAACTAGTAAAAGCATGTGTCACTATCATTGTTTAATTAGTAAAAGCATGTGTCACTGTCATTGTTTAATTAGTAAAAACATGTGTTATTTTTTAAAATACCTAAAGATCCAATTTTATTTATGTATTTCAAGTTCATTTAGTAAACTATATATATATTTAAAGTTATAAATTTTATTACTTTAAATTTATATTACTTTCAACAATTATTTTTAGAGAAAACCTCTTTTAATCTATCTTCATCATGACCAAAGCGTGTTTACAAACATATTTTGCAGGTATTGTCTATGATAAATGGAGTTCAATAAATGTCTGTGAAATTATAAATTGCTATTACCCTAAACTGTTAAGCAACAAATTAAACATAAATTTATTTATGTAAAGTATTTATTTTTTATTAGTTTTAATATTAAATGTTTGCTATCATTCTATTATTCTGATTTTTCCAATTTGAGCTGACTTGGCAAGGTCTTTTGCAAGGTTCTTGTCAACTTTTTTGAGGTAGCTATTTATCCTAATGTGATCATAATAAATTGTTTCAGGTTTTGTGCCAATTCTTTGAGTAGACCATTCTTTTAAGAAAACTCCAAATACTTGTTGAACATTCTGGAAACATTCTAGAATACACAGTGACATCTACTTTGATCTTAACACAGTTTGGCCAGCCATCTACTTTGATCTTAACTTATTTGAACATAACTTATAGAGTTTTTTTTTTTTTACGAATTGTGCCACTGTTTTGGCATAATGTGCTGAAGTCAAAATAAGTATCATTTTCATTGATCATCATTTTATACTTTACTTTTATACTTTTATAAAAAATACGAGTTATTTCTTTGTTGATAATGCTTTAAGTAAAGATTTTGGTTAACTGCAAGATCACTGAGTACAAAGTACAGTCTTAACACCTCTTTATCATAAATGATTAAGGGGTATCAAGACTGTACACAACAAGACTAGCATTATTTTGGTTAGGTTTTGTAGTTTTTTATATCTTACCAAAAGTGTGTTCAACGTTGAGTAAAAAGTATCAATATCATTGATTGTGCTGTTAGCGAAAGTAAAATTAGGTTCATCAATAATGCATGATTCGCACTACAGATACTGATACAGATAATCCTATCTTTGGGAAGTTCTTTTTTGCTGGTCATCATATTTGGAATGATATTTTTTATTTTATGGCAACTGATGCTTGTCTTTTTTTTTTAACAAGTAATTAATCAGTGCTTCAAATTTGAAAGCAGCCTGCCTTTTTTGAAACTCTATTACATTGATCAGATTTTGAGGTACCTAATGTTTTTTTTTATTCATTTTTCTGGTAACACAATCACTATAATCTAAGACTTTTTCAACATACTAGATTATGTCAGAAATTGTTTGCCAAAGTGGTTTTATATTTTAAAGCGGTCTAGGGTTACTTTTTTTTTTAAAACTGCTAAAATTGTTAAAACTGCTGCAACGAAAAGTTTTATCTTAAGCATTGTACATGTTAAAATATGATCTGTAGTTATACTGTTTTGCTCTACTTATATATATATATATATATTTTTCTTTTTTTAAAAGTTATTTAATTTACAAAGTTATGATTATATTTTTATTTTGTTTTTGTTGTTTTTTTATTATTGTTTTTAGTCAAATTATGTGTTCAGAGCAATTTGCAACATTTGTTACTGAAAATTTTGTTTTCTGGGGATGGGATGTGACGCACGAAAGTAACAAGATAAAGTATTGTTATTTGTATTGTTTTTTTTTTAGAATTTTTGTTTGAATATCTCATAAAAATGAAACTTATTTACTGTTACAAACTTTATTTCAGAATATTATATAAATCGTTTTTTTTTCCAGAATTTTTTTTTTATTATTATTTATTTATGCTATTTGAGATTCAACCTCATGTTGAGTTAATTATGATCATATGCTAAATAGAGTTTCGTGACATTTTCATGTTTTATGACAATTTTTTTTAATAAAACAGTTAAACAGTTTAAACTGCTGTTTCAAGTTGACAGAAAAAGTTCCAAAAATAGTTTCTGTGCATCTATTGCTGTATTTTTTTATACATGCATATATAAATCATATATAAATGCAGCAATAGATGATGTCATAAAAAAACAGGGGCTTCAAAACATACATTGACTATCCAATTGACATAGGGTTTTGCATGAGGCAAAAATCTTTTCTTTCATTTTTTTTTTTTTATTATTTTTTTTTTTTTCTGAAAAATTAAAATGTACTTTTTTACCTTTAGAGCGCAAAAATGATATTAGGAAATCGCGACTTAACATATGGATTGAGTATAGTGTTTATATATATATATATATATATATATATATATATATATATATATATATATATATATATATATATATATATATATATATATATATATATATATATATATATATATATATATATATATATATACATATATATATATATATATATACATATATATATATACATATATATATATATATATATATATATGTATATATATGCTGCCTCAGAGCAAAATACACTCCTTTCAGAGAAAGTGCTGTTTAAAAGTTGAGATGTCTCACATAAATTGATGCAAATTCAAAATTTTCTGATTTTTTTTTTATTAATATTAATTCTCCTCCCTAAGGTTGTGAAGGCTACTACAGATAAGGAGGCTACTTGATTGTGGTTATAACCCTCTCTTAACTATATAACTCTGAAACATGAACCTTGACAACAAGGCCTCTGCACAGAGAAACAAGTTGAGCGCAGTACTACTAGAAACCTGGTGGGGAAGCTTGCATCCTCTCGCTTATAATGCGATCACTCTACCACTACCACATTTTTGTCATAAAAATAATTAATAATGTTCGTTCATTTCACATAGGTTGATGATCTTTTAATTTTCATGGGAAACCTGCTAAAAAACACTTGTAACATTTCTGCTCAAAACAAAGCAAAAGGAAAGTTGCCAGATATGTACAAAAAGATTTATCCTTTTTTTGAAGTATGAGTGGGGGGAGTTCCAATGCTATTATAATTATAAAATTAAAAACAATTTATTGACTCACAAGACTTTTTTAACTTTAAAATATAAAAAGTTTATACATTTAAACATTTTTTATTATAATTGTAATATTATTGCATGACAAAATAAAATATTTAAACATTTATATCAACATCAATAATGAAATAACTCTAATTGGTTGAACAATCTTCTATTTTGAATATAATAGAAATTATTTTTGTCATTCTGATTTGAATATGTTTTAGATTCTAGGTTTAGTTAGAAGTCAATCAAAGAAGGTAATCCTTTGTTATGAATGTGAGCAGTTTCATTGGGTCATTTTTTTATTAGCATCAATAGGGAGTCTAGAAGAGTTTTGTTGCTTTAACTCAACTGTTGAGTGGTCTGGACACTTTTGTCATTTACTTAATGTTGATTTTCCCTCTATATTTTTAGCGAAATATACTCCAACTTCACCATCAACATTTTTCTTGAATATTGTTTCCCTCTAATCCATAATGCCTTTAAATGCTGCTCTTCAGTATATTTTAGAATTTACACTGTTGTAATCATCATTTCTGTTATGGTAACAGAACACAGCCATTTCTTGTATTTGCCTACATTTGTGCAATGTATTCCAATAGAAGATATACATCTTTTTTATTGAACTCACCTTCTACCATGATATGCATGTTGTCATATTCACACATTCTGAGTGAAGTCTAAATATTTTCTCTTTGTGTCCTGCCGTTAATAATTGTTATCAATTTTTTCTAAAATAACAATCTTGATTGCAAGATCTAGGTTTTGTTTGCAGGGCCAGCTCTTGATCAATGAATCACTGTGCTGTCCCGAGTTTTGCTTACATTGTTCTTAACCATCTGATCAAAAGCTTGTGTTCCATACAAAAAATTTTGTTACAGTCTTCCAAAATTGTTTTCCAAAACTCTCTTTTTTGTTGCATAACCTGTTTAACAAGTGCTTAACTGAAGCTTGTTTTCCCACTTGTTGGAATATCTGTGGTGAAAATCTTTAAAAACCCTAAAAACCTCTTTGACCCCTCTCACTATTGCTCAATCAATCTTTGAAAAGTTTTTAAATCTTTGAATATCAAACTTCTAATTTCTCATCTTGAGCTAAACACCTCTCTCTGACAATCAATATAAGTTGCGATTCTCTTTGCTTTATTGGTGTGTCATTCCTTTTTAATTGCAATATTAGGGTTATCTTTGATAGACACTCTTTCATTAAAATATTTCATTTTCATTTCATTTGAAATGAAAGATAAAACACTATCATTTCCAGCAACTTTTGGGGTACCACAAAGATCCATCCTTGGCCCTGTGTTGTTTTTCACCTATATTAATGAACGTTCTGATAATCTTAAAGTAAATAAATTTATTTTAGAGTAAACATTTTACTCTAAAGTTGCTCTATTTGCTGGTGTTACAACTATATACATTAGCCTTGACAAAATCCTTTCTCCTTTTAATTGCTTAAAGCAAGCAGTTTTTAATTTGGCAACTATGTTTAAATCTAATCTCTTTTTTTGTGGCGCTTTGAGACTTATAGCGACTGGACTGTAACTTTACAATCATTTGCAAATTTACAGCCTGTAACTTTACAATCAATTGCAAAATTAGTATTTGCTAATGTTGCCTCTCTTTAGTGTTTTTTCTATTTTCTAGATTTCCTGATTCCATTTTCTATAGGTATAGTGCCTTAAAAAGACAAAAATATTATATTGTTTATACAGTCTTCTCCATTTAGCAACTGCTTTTGCGCTCAAGCTTTTTCACACTTGTCCACACACCTGGAAAAATTTTGGCAAGCACATAAAAAAGGGTTTGCTAAAAAAATAAAAGCATTTAGTTTTAACTCTTTTGTTCAACTTTTATGCAAAATGGCTTTTTTTTACCCATTTTTTTAAATTATTTTTTCTATTATTTATTTAAAACATGCTTTTCTCTGTTTTTATTTTAATTTAAATAGCAGAAAAAAAATAATAATCTTTTAAACTGTGCATGCTAACTTAAAAATGACCATTCTGCATTTTTTTGTGCATTGGCATTAAATTTCAAACAAATATATGCTTATAATTGTTCTTAATCAAAATTAAATTGGATATTCCAAAATTAAATTGGATGTTCCAAAATTAAATTGGATATTCCAAAATATAATCAAAATTAAATTGGATATTCCAAAATATAATCAAAATTAAATTGGATATTCCAAAATATAATCAAAATTAAATTGGATATTCCAAAATATAATCAGGCCATATAAGTTTTTTACAAAAGCAAAATTAGAAAATTTTGTCTCACAAGATATTTTTAAAAATTTGAGAATTGAAATTGACTAATATTTAATATAAAACAAAAAATATTTAGAAAAAAGCTATAAAATAAAAAAGCTATAGAATAAAAAAGCAATGAATAGGGTCTTTATAAACACTTAGTTTTGATTGATTTAATAAAATGTCTTTTGTTTTTTTAAAGGTACCATATATTTTTAACTTTTATTGCAAATTTTTTTTTAACTTTTAATAGAAAACAATTTCTAAAGAAAAAAGCAAAACTCTATTTTAAATGGTTCCTGCAATTTTTCAATCAATAGTAACAAAGATTCTATTGATCTAATGGAATCTATTAATAAAAATCTTTAATACTGTCATCTTAATTTTTTTTTATTTTTATCAAGGTAAAATAATAATTGTTTTTTTTTACCATCTGCAAATTTGTTTTTACCATATACATGATCTAATGGAATCTAATAATAAAAATATTTAATACTGTCATCTTAATTTTATTTTTATTTTTATCAAGGTAAAATAATAGTTTTTTTACCATCTGCAAATTTGTTTTTACCACATACCAATGAGATAACAATTTGACACTCAGGGCATTGTTTTAGCTTTGCAGCTATTTTATATTGTTGAGGTGTTTTTTTTATAGAATATATATATATTTTTTTTGAACTTTCTCTACTAATATTAATATTGCTGCTTGTTGGAATTTACCATTTTGCATAAATGCAAGGTTTAAGTTTTGGTTAGTAATACTGACCTTTTTACTAGCTTTTTGTATCAACTTTGGTGTGGCTTACTTGTCCCACATACTTGCAAGAGATAACATAAAAGCTATATAAATAATATATAAAAATCTTTAATATATAATATATAAATAATTAAAAAAGCAATAATTATATAAAGTACTTACATATAACAGATCACTGTGCTTTTTTTGGCATTCATAATCCTCAAGATTGATATTGACATCCATAATAAGATTTTTTAGTTTTTTTCTGTTTATATCTTAATAAGCATAATTTTTACAGTGTGCTTACTCAGTAATAGTATCTTCTTCAGTGGTTAGTATCATTACATGGTTTTTTTCATTTCCTTTAAGAACTAGGTTATCTAATCCCTTATCAATCACAATTTTGCTTTTTATTAATGGAAACTGAGCTGTTGGTCTTGCAATTTCGCACCATTCTACAGCTTTATTTATCTGTTTGTATCTCATTTAAATTGCTTTACAGCTGCTTCATATTCCTTGGCTTTTTTGGGTAAAATTTCTTTATTTTTTGAATTTTTTTTGTAATGTAATGCCAGATTTCTTTCTATTATAAGGTTATTAGGCAGATTATACCATGCAAAATATCTCCCCAATTGAGTTTTGTTAAAAAGGTCAACAATAATAGGATTGTCTTTTTAAGATTCAGGCTGGCATGGAAATCT